ATTATTTAAAATTTTTTGATTATAATAATTAATATTTATCTTTTTAAATTTACTTCAAAATAAAAGGCCCTAGGTACGAGGGGTGAGTGCAGCGATACAGGATCACGTTTGCGGCACAAATCAAGCCTATTTGACATGCCTCTAAAAGAATCTGTAATCTCTCTTTCCCTAATTATTATAGATTGTCATGGTATTTCCATATATACTTAGAAGGACTGATTAACAAATTGCAGAGCCCAACCCCTCAAGATTTCCCAATTCCAACTCCAAAAGATACTGCAAAATTTTTTTCTCAGGTAAGTTCATTATGCCATTCCCATGTTAGAATCTCTGGATCTTGATTCATTGCCAATTACTGAGAATATAGTTTGATTTGAACATTGTCTTTTGCTCAAACAGGCCTCTTCTTCTTCCTCGTCAGCATTACAGCCGAGTAATGCTCCAGGAATCACAACTCAGGTATATACATACATAACTACATTTAATGGTACATAGTTAAGGGTTAAGGATGAATAATTGGATTTAGGAATTCATTGTTGGCATAAATTCAATGTGTGATGGTATATGTTATGTATTTACGGGGTACAACATCATGCCAGATTGTAAACCGATTCCCTCATCTTTGCTTGGATGAACGCCCACTCATGACACCAATGGCAGCCAGTGTTCTTCCGACTTATCCTGGGATTCAATACATGGTAAATTAATAACTCAATTAATAGTTTTCCATCCTTTTATTGTAAAAGTAGGATTGAATTTTGAACTTCTTATGATCCTTTTTTAATATAAGGTACCTCAAATCAAAGTTTTTTTAATTAAGAAATATTTTAATTCCACTAGGTTCTTGATAGTAATTTCTAAGACCCTAGTTGTCAGTCTTATGAGTTGTCCTTTTTTGTCTTCTCTTTTTAACAAAATTTACAATTTTTCAACACAGGTAGCACCTCAAACTGGGAGGATAATGAATTATGCAATGTCAGGTTATCTACAGATGCCTAGAACCCTTGGAGCAATAGTTACTTGTGCTCCTGTAATTCACCCATCTGGGATACCTTCTTCACCAGGTTCAGTCGCACTTGCACATAGCATGTTGCGAGCCGTTCCCGAAACTTCATCACCTCAGAAAGACCCTCTGGAACTCAAAATTGCTCCTCCCCAAGCTTCACAAAATGCTCAAGCTTCCGGTGCCATACGTGTGATTTGAAGAAGGGGTATACGTCGAGATGCCTGATTTCACAATTTTTGGCGAAGAGATTTATCTAGGAGTAGAACTCGGAGATAAGACATATATATGGAGAGTAAAATTATTTTTTAAAAATAATCTCGTAGATAAAATATTTCAAATCCTCTGTTTGAAAGAAATTATAATTCCCATGTGTGGGACTTTTTGATGAAGGAGATTTTTCTTCTTTGATCTTATTATTCAAGTCTCTGCCAAAGTATATCTTTAAATTGGCATCGGACTAACCAGACCCTCCTCCCATGTTCTTCGTTAATAAACTACTCTTTCGAGAATGTTTGGGTATTTTTTTTTTTCTCTTTCTTCTAAATTACATGAACTTTGCCTAAAAAAAATTATTAAAAAACATCATGCTTGATAAGTAGTTACGATGTTAATTTTAGGATACATGTGTGTTTTCCCCTGCACAGAAGGTGTTTCCAAGAAGCCATGAGCATCCAAGAGGTTGGTTTGATCCTGGAAAATCGAACTGTGACACAAAAATCAAGGGGATGATATTTTATGGAAAGAATAATTGGTTATTTTGGGATTTTTTAAGAGTAATCAATTATGTTAGGCTTTTAATAAATGTATCGTAGAAGAAATTTTTTTGAGATTTTTGAATTGGAAAATATTTTTAGGCTCCGTAATTGATTATATCTTTGTATAATTGGTATTTATTAATTAACAAATCAAAATCAATCAATAAATTAATAAAAATTAATATCTTTAACATTTTTTATAATGAGACAATAATCACGTCCCTGCTGTCCTAGTCTTTTTATTTATTTACTTATTTATTTATGGGACCCATCAAAAACTTCCAGCCACGTAAATCATAAAAGTGCCTTAACTGTTCGAACAGCTTATAGTTGACAAGCAACATCGAGCGGATTGTATATCTCTTAACAGCTGTTCCAAATAAGGATAACAAATTTTGGAAAAATTCCCAATAAAAACACTACTTATTTTGGGATAGAAGTAGTATAACAGTAACAACTATCAAGCAACAGAAACTTTTGTACAAACAATTTAATAATGTAATAAACTGAAAAAGAAATAAATTTCAGAACAGCTTACAAACAACTGAGAAAACAAAGTCCAGTAAGGGAAAATGGATTAACCGATTAAGAAGAGCAGCAGCCAGACTTCTGGTTAACAGGTTGACCCCGTATCTGCACTGTTGGAGGCCTGGCATCATTTGCTGGTTGACTTGCCATCCTGCATTGAAAAAATGATAATTGTCATGCTACTGATAATTTATGGTGATATTTACATGGCTACAACAATTATAGATTAAAAAAAAAAAGGTACATAAAAGATTGCCATGGGGCAATGAAAATTCCAAAAGTACCTATTCTTAATATCAGCTGCCATTGCCATGAAAGCCTCCTCAACATTGGTGGCATTCTTTGCACTGGTCTCCATGAAGGGGATGCCAATTTCATCCGCAAATGCCTTTTCACAGAACAAAGGGTTGCATGTTTATTTTAGTTTCCACAGTTTATTCAAAGAAATACAACGGAGTTCATCAGACGGTATTTATTAGAATAACTTTTAAGCCTTATTACCTTGGCTGTTTCATAAGACACTACTTTGTTAGCAGTAAGGTCACACTTGTTTCCAACCAGAAGCTTGTTCACGTTCTCACTTGCATAACGATCAATTTCATTCAACCATTGTTTAACATTATTGAAACTCTCCTGGTCGGTTACATCGTAAACAATCTGCAAGAAGGAAAGAAAAGTGAGAAATGCATAGAAAGTTTTAAGGGAAAGAAAGGGATGGTAAAGAAATAAATTGGGTAAATAAGGGGCAGAGAAAAGAGAGAGAGCTCACTATAATGCCATGTGCTCCACGGTAGTAGCTACTGGTGATGGTCCTAAACCGTTCTTGCCCTGCAGTGTCCCACTGCATGTTTTTAGAGGAAAAAGGGTGAGCTCAGTTGCTGGATTATCAAACATAAACAGAACTGAAGAAAAAGTTAATAGTGAATTCACAGCAAGGATTAATCCACAATCTACACCTAAAATCGGAAGGCATAATCAGAGTAAGGGTTACTCCCATCAAGGTAAAGATTCAACCGCAATAATATGATGAAAATTTGAAACACCAAGAAAAATGCAACTATTTATTAATATCAAGCATATCACAATCGAATGATAAAGTTGTGAATCCAAGAAATACTAAGAAAAAAAATAGGACAAGGCCACAAGACCCAGAAAAGATGAAAGCAGGGTTTCGTCAATACTATTTTCATGACAATCAAACAGATATATGTTGCTTGCCAGTCTGATTCTGCAGCACGGTAAAGAGTACTCACAATTTGCAGCTTTATAGTCTTCCCATCCTGCTCAACAGTGCGTATTTTCTGGGGAACAGAAATTAACATGTAAGCCCATATCCAAATGATCATAGCAATTTCTTCAGCATATGAATAAGAGGAGTATAAAATGCTCACAAAGTCCACGCCAATTGTGCTAATATAACTGTCCAGATATGAATCATCCTGCATTATCAAGTGATAGAGAAGTATTCATATTGCAGGCATTGCAAAATGCTACAAACGGCATCAAATTATATGTAGTAAATATAATGGACAATTCACATGGTCTATCTGATCATTGACAATGTTGGCTGTTGTTAGATAGAGAAAAATTTAATTAATAGAAGCAAAGGAAGAAGAGAACAATATATGTAAATGTAATTGGCACAGTCTGAAACTTACAGCAAATCTCAGAAGAAGACAGGATTTGCCAACTCCAGAATCTCCAATTAGCAAAAGTTTGAACAAATAGTCACTACAGAAAAGGAATAAAACAAATAAAAATTAAATGTCATCTGAAGAACACAATTTAATGGCTTCCCAAACAAATTTAAACAATCCTTGTTTCTCCAAAATTAATCAGGAAAACACTAATTATACATTCATGACCAGTTAAAGTGATACCCTCTTTAGAAATTCAAATTCACCAGAACTTCTCCCCCACTTTCCCCAGAAATTGTTTTCTTCTAACTCTAATCATGGGGTCAAGTATTCAGCTTAATAATCTGTCTACAGTGAGGTAACATTTCATAGTAGGCACCAAACTAATAATTAAAAACAAAGAAAATCAAAAGCTGGGATCATACTCCCTCCAATCCAAAATAGTTGCGACTTTGCTAGACTTTCATATAGTATATGAATGGCAATTTAAATAAGGTTGCGATGAATGAAATTATTCAACAATAGTTACATATAAAAAAAAGCCAGTCAAGTCAAATGATACTTCAAAAAACATCACCTAAATTTTCATGCAAGAAGTCAATGCCACAACTATTTTGGACTGTAGGGAGTAGCTCTCTTCCTCCAAACCCCACGATCATACAACAACTTGAGCAGAATTTGTTCTCAATTAGAATAGAATGAATTCTCATCAGGGAAAAAAATTCAATCACCAAACAATAGAATTAGCCATAACCCATGAATAGAAAACCCACTGTCTTTCAACATGAAAACACTACAGATCTAAAGGCCCCTCACTGAATTCGGATTCACTTTGGCTGCTCAGCAAACATCATAAAAGGGAATTCACTAATTCAATGCAACAATTGAAGATCTTAAAAACAGACCCACAAAAATTCAACATAAACCCATGACAGATCCATACAAATAAACATATCCTTTAACAAAACCCCTTTCACCAAAGCCCAAAACCTCAAACATCATAAGCAAACAACAACAACAATGGGAAATACATAGAATTCAGAAATTTTACTTATGGAGGCTTACTATTCAGTATTCATGATTGTCGTTTCAATTTTCAACGGAAGATCAGGTCGGTCCGGCCAGGTGTAGACCGGGTAATGACGAGGGGAGAAACTCCGAGGTGCTGTGGAAAGGTAGAAAGGAGAAGAGTAGTTTTTGAATTGTTTGGGAAGGAAGAGATGAGTCTGACCCTGAGGTGCAGATGCCACGGAGAAGAACGGAATTTATTAAGCCTTTGAAATTGAACTAAAGTTGGTTGTTAGCGGCTAGCATATGGGTTTATAGTTCACAGAAATGTTCAGTGCAGTCCTGCACAAAATTAACTCTAAAAATGGTCCCTGTTTTGGACTGCAAATCAGTCCTTTATATAGGATTCACGTCTCATCTACAAGTTTTGTTATATGAAAAACGTATTACAGTCTGTTCTATGATGGACTATAATATCACAACCATTAAAAGGGGAGACTCTTGCTATTGAGCTATCCTTTTTTTCGTTAAGGGTTTTGATATTCCAATCTAGTTTATAAGATTCTATTTGTTATATATTTTTATATAAATTAAATTATATAATTATTTAAAAAAATAAATTTAACTTTAAAATAACAAACAAATTTTAATATTAAAAATTATCTTTTATTCAAAATTTTTTTATAATATAACAAGGTTTAAATCATTTTTAAGGATTCGTGAAAAAGGTATTTGGTGGGGGTGTTGATGCATAGTTATATACTTATAATATAAACAATTCTGGCCTAGTAATATAAATTAGAATATAAACTATTTTGATGCAATACGTCTCTCCCCTACCTCTCTTTCGTTTTTGTGAACCATTGTCTCTACCACTTTCCTTATCCCACTACTTGTTTCTTTATTATTCTTGCTTTCTTTCTACCTTAATTGTAGTTGACATAATTAGTTGTATCAAGGAAAATAAGCACAACCAAATATATTTGAATGACATGCATGTTTTTATCCTCACACAACAAAATATTAAAGCTACATAAATTTTTAAATACTATTTTTTAAAATACAAATTTAATTTGTTAAGGGTTTAATTTTTGAAAAATTCTACCCATATCATTACCTAATATTATTAATCCATCTGTAGCTAGCATTTTTAAATTTTAAATTAAATAACTTAATCATCATGGAGACCAATGATATAGAAAAATTTACTCTTTAAACTAATCATATATAAATAAAGAGCATTGAAAGGAGAATGCAATAAAAGTATCACTAGCACTCTAGAAGAAAAATGTGATAAATTGAAAGAAATCTGATGATATCTGACCAAGTAAAACTATAAATCAAATAAGAAGCCAAAGAACTCGGAAATAAAGGACAAAGCACTCAATCAGGCGAAGTTCACGTTTTCTAACTTCAATTCTAAATCATAAGTTCGCTTTCCCTTCACCTCACAAAACTTCAAGAGCCTAAGTAAATAAATAAATAACTTGTTTCTGTTTTCTATTTTATTTTCGTCTCATGTTTTCTAGATCATCAGATCAAAGAAGCATGCACAAATCAGCGAGCTGGAGCAGGGTGTCGGATGACTACTTCAAGGGCTCTGTGTCGGGGCTGAGAATGTCACCGATGGCCACGGCAACAGAAAGCAACAACCACCTGCCTTTGTATGACAACGCTATCATGGATGTGCCTAAGAAGGAAAAATCTCGAACCAAGTTCGCTGAGAATGCTGTTCACGTCATTCCTTTTGTGTTGCTTGTATGCGCCTTGATTCTTTGGTTATTTTCTAATCCAGGTAATAAAAGTTCATTTTCTTAGTGTAAAAGTATAGATCACACCAAAATTTAATTATGCTTTAGCAACTGTTGAAATTCGTCCTCAAAATGTCTTCAAATAGCTTCTCACAACCTCCAGGGTCTTTTTAGTTTGTGAGAAGGGAGGCAGAGAGATCATTGCATTCAATTAAATTAAAATATTGACCCATTAACTTAATTTGATTAAATGAAATTATTTTTTCTCATCTGTTTTTTATTTTTTTCAAATTAAACGTGTTCTTTGTGATGAACGACTCATCCCAATCTTGTTGTTAAAAGTGTTGGGGAGGTCATATTCATTGCTAAAAGTTTTGAGACTTTTTTAAAGATAGTTTGGTAGAATTAATAATTATTAATTTAAAAATTTTAAATTAGATCCTTTGAGTTAAAAATTATGACTTGACTAGATATGAATAGGTTACACTTCATAAATAAAATGACTCTTAATTAACCCTAATTTGTGCTTAGCGGTAAGCAAACTCCATTCTCAATGGATGGGTAGCAAACTAAATATGCAAAAATCTTAATTTGGTGTTGAAACTGTGAATGCAAACCCTTTTATAGTTAAGTAGTTAACTCTCAATCTAAAAAAATATCATCTTTTACCTCTAAAAATTTTAATTGTCTAAAAAAGAGAAGCGTGAAACTCCAAACTTCTTAACATGACTGTAAAATATTGTTCAAATATCTTTTATTAATATTTCTCAAATGTATTTAAATCTTTGTATCATCATCCTAATGTTATTGGTTTTCCAAATTTTAAATATATATATATATATAAATAAAAACTTAAAAATTTAAGCCGGACACGCCGTTATAGATCATCCCTATTGTGCTGCTAAAGGTTAAAATTTTTATTATCGATTATAATTCATCCCATTGACTATATGTATCAACCAATGACTTATATTGGAATATTCATTATGTGTGTTCGGTTTTGCAATGCAGATGTGGAAGTAGGAATGAGGGGGGATTCAATGGCATCGAGAATTGAAGGACTGACCATCGACGGCGACATTGACAACGACAGCGATGGTACCCAGACAGGCTTTTTGCCGCTCTTGGATGCCGGCGACGTGGAAGAAAGCAAGCAAGATTCCCAGGACAACAGGAAATTGGGGAAGAAATTAAGTTTAAACGCCGCTGTTTCCCAGTTTCGCTAGCCTTTTTTTTGCGATATTATTTTTTTTTCTCTTTTTTTTTTAATGTTCTTATTTTTATCGTCTTTGTACTTTTGTCCCCATTGAAAATAGAAAAAAAAAAAAGGAAAAAAAAATGTTTTGTGGCTATTTTTAATTTTTTTGGGATCATTTTTATTAGCTTTCTAATGAATTCATAATCTAGCATTTCTCAAAACTCTACTTAGGGCATGTTTGGGTTCTTCTATAACCCAAAAACTTATTACAGGAAAGTTGGTGACTCATATTTGTCAGCTTAACTCAAGATTTTCAAAATCCTTATACGAAAATCAAGAGCTCATATAACTGATTCTATTATTTGAAAAGTGATTAAAATGCTTCAAATTCTAATTAATCAATTATATTGCAATATAATCAATTACAAAATGAAAAAAATTTTCCTCTCGTAATGTTTTTGATCCAAAATAATATCAAAGTATATATTGTAATTAATTATAATCAATTATAAAAATTATAATCTATTACTTTAGGCAATTATTTTCCTAAAAAATATTTTAATACTTAAAAACCCATAAACTTAATTTAAATAACTTAATATTCTTAAAATTTTTTTCCTTAAAAAGTTTTAAAACAAATAGTCATAAATGGGGGTGGGGGGGGGTCCTAGATAAAATATTAATGGGCTTTTGCTCAATTTCTGTATAACTTAATTTCCCACCAAAGTCTGAAACATTTATTCGGCCGAGAAAAAGTTCAAACAAGTTGGTGGAGTGTTGGTGAAGACGGAGTTTTCTGTTGAGACAGATAAACTCCAATTAATTGTCCCCATTGCCTTCTCCAGAAAGAAACGAAGCAAAATACTAGACAAAGCCCTTTTCTGCAAGGCACATTCCGGGGTTAATTTCGTGTTCCTCCACCTCCACCTCTCACTTGCCATCCAATCCATTTTAATATTTTAAAAGAGCCAAAAGCTAATGGAATTTTTCTATTTTTTGCTAGTAGAAAGTTTGGGGTGCGAGGAGGTTATCCCAGTCCAAGGCCGGGCATACCATAAATAGTTTCAATGGGGACCTATAGTAGAATTTACTTATTACTTTATGAGAAATTGTTATTAACAGGATTTAAATTCAAAAATTAATAAATTTACTATCTTTTAAATGAAAATTCATCCTATACTTATTAAAATAACAATTTATAAACACCATTGAAACTAATCGAGTTAATGTCTTGGATGGTCATGTTATCAGTTAAAAAAAAGAAAGAAAGAAAGAAAATAATATCTTGCCTCCTCTTTTTAACATCCAAACTAAGACCCATATTAGGACATTCTAAGTTTCTAACCAACCATTTCCTTTGCTTCACCAAGATATCATAAGATACAACTTTAAAAAAAAAATTTAATATATTTTATAGATTTTTTTAATTTGTGCACCCTAAGTGTGTAATAATCTTTTCATGATAAATTTATATTGAAAAAGTAAAAAATAATTTTTAATTTATTAATTATCTAATTAAATAATTATCTAATTAAATTTATCCACTTAATACCAATATTAAAATTAATGTTAATTTATTTTTTGTATATATTCATGGAAAAAAAAGTGCTCTTTAAGATTAAAAAAATATTGTTTTATACTCTTAATTAATTAAAAGAGAATTTACAAAAACAATTTTTAATTATAAGTTAGGTTATCTAAATGATGAATAGCCCCATCACGTGTTTATATAAACTCCAATTACCATCTCCATCCTCTCATGCACAAATCTCCCTCTTTCAATTCACCATGGCCAAGCCCATCCAGATTTCATTTCTCCTCCTTTCTTGCTTTGTGTTAACAACCACCGCCACCACCTACATGATCGGTGACACTTCCGGCTGGGACATAAGCACCAATCTCGATTCATGGGCAGCCGATAAGACATTCAAGGTTGGAGATGTTCTCGGTAAGCAATAACTTATCAAAATATACTGTATATATCTAAATTTTAGAGACAGCAAAATCCAAATTAAATAATTAATGCACTTTTTTTCCCCCTCTTAATTTGCAGTGTTCCAGGATTTATCATCTGACAATATCTGCGAAGTTACCAAAGAAAACTTTCGGACATGCAACACAACGAATGTTATCAGCAGGTACTCTAACGGGAACACAACGATTAACCTGACGCAACCCGGAATGAGATATTTCATCGACGGTAACCAGATGTATTGTTTGGGAGGGCTGAAGCTACAGGTTAATGTAGAAGGCGACACGGCCTCTTCACCGGTTGGAGCGCCTCAGGCGCAGCCTGGAGCCACTCAGGTGCAGCCTGGAGCCACTCACGTGCAGCCTGGAGCCAGCCTTCCGACGCCTAATTCCAAGAGCGGTAATCCTGTTTCTACTTCGGATGGGGGAATTATGTTGAGAGGATGGGAGTCTCTTGCAGTGGTCTTGGTGGGTGTGGTGGTTACGGTGTGGCATTTTGTGTAAATTTGAGTGTGTTGTTTAGCAAATGCATGTGTTTTGATCTGTATCAAATCAAATTTGAGTGTGTTGTTTAGCAAATGCCTGTGTTTTGATCTGTATCAAATCAAATTTGAGTGTGTTCTTGTTTCTTTGGGAAGAAAAGTACAATTGTTGAGACCCCTTAGCAATTTCATGCTTTTGTTGTGTATGTGTTTTGGACCTAATTTTCCTTTCATAAGGAACAAATGATAAGATAGTTTTTTTTTTTTTTTTGGCTGAAATGTGGTAGTGGCAGTGGGATCCAACCCCAAAAGTTTAGAAATTTCTTCAACTTAAACAATCATCTTGCACCTAAAGGTCCTAAAACAATGCATTTTGTGATTATAAAGGACAAGATAACGAAGAATTACAGTATCAACTATATAATGCAATTTACTACTTCCTTCGGGATTTGATATATAGTCCTATTTTAATTTTTTTTATGATTATTTAAAATTTTTTTATTATAATAATTAATATTTATCTTTTTAAATTTACTTCAAAATAAAAGGCCCTAGGTACGAGGGGTGAGTGCAGCGACACAGATCACGTTTGCGGTACCAACCTTGCCCGTTGCGTCTTGTTTCTAGAGTCTTCCGAGCCACGTCACCACCAACTTCCAACGAGGAACAATTTTTCGATCAGCAAAGAAGAATGTACCGCTTATTTTCTGGAAAAATCTTCCTCTTACTCAATCCACTAGACCTGGATTTGGAAGATTGATACTCTTCCTAAAATTCAATATCTTGTTTGGTTGATGGTTCATGGGAGATTACTTACTTTTAACACCCTGTTTAATTGGGGTGGTTAGGTTCTAATTTATGTCCCCGCTTTCAAGAGGGCCCTAAAACCTTTAATCATCTTTTTAGAGAATGTGTTTTCGCATGTAATCTTTGGAATGAGATTATTGCTCCTCTTGACACTATTAACTATCACGATCTTGATTTCTAGGGCTAGCTTAAAGCACGTTGCACTCACAAGGCTAGACTTATGCTTGTGGTTGGAACACTATTTTCTTTTACCATTTTGGCTATTTGGTACTTTAGAAACCAATTAATCTATAACAAGTATTACTCTACTATTTTTGAAATTAAGGATTTTATTTATAAGAAAGTGGGATAGAGTTTAATCAAGTTCTTGACATTTCAACAACTAGAGTTTCTTGTATTACTATTCATGTTGGTTGGACTACTCCTCCAACTAATTTCATTCAATTGAACACTAACGGTTTCACACTAGGTAATCCTAGTCTTGTCGATGTGGGCAGAGTGTTTAGGGATGAATTTGGCAGGTGGATACTGGAGTTCTCTCATCATGTTGGTCACACCATCAGGTTAGCGATTGAACTTTAGGCAATCCGAGATGGGTTGTCCATTGCCTTAAGCAGGGGTTTTAACAAACTTGTTCTTGAAATTGATTCAAAGATTGCTATGACTTTAATTGATAAAAGTAATTGTGATTACCACTCATGGGTACACTTGTTGTTGATTACAAGATGTTGTTGGACCAAGTACCCGATCTGTAGTTCAAGCATATATAT